CTGTATGGCTGAATAGTGTAACCGCTCTGACGTCACCCCACTGCATGTAAAATATTAAACTGGTCTTTTGTATACACAGGATCCTAACATTTATAACAAACAAACATATGTAACCACAAAATAAACAATCTCAATAAAAAATAGTGCAGTGCTTCCACTGTGGGACTATGTCACTCATATATTACGAGTAATGTTTGTATTCCCCCAGAAACAATGGTAAGTATCTTTAATGTAAATAAACCTTAGGGAAATTTGTAAAAATGTATAACAAAAATATATTTATTTTGTTATTCTAGTTTCTCTTCTGTAATTTTGTATTCAAAAATACTTTCCTTCACTGGTACTCTCTCAAAGTGCTATAGATTATGTTAAAAATACACCTCTTTTCTGTTGCTTCACAATATTTAATAAACACAACATCAATACCAGAGCAATTAAACAAAAATGTAAAATTAAATAAAATGTCAGGTAAGTACCCTTTGAACTTTAATTGACCCTATGAAAAATACTTAATAAACAAAAGATTTAGACTAAACACACCTCAAAATTAACATTTTTTCTTTTTTTTTCCCACAGAAAAATATGCCACAAACCAAAAACCTATGTGTATGTTTATCAGTGTATAGGTGCGTGTGTGTGTGTGTTGGTGAGAGTGTATTTGTGTGAATGAGCTTATTTATCAATCATATCAAACAGATAATATTGTAACCGGAATTGTATTCACCACAATGGAAAAGTATAAATCAATTAAATTTGTGGTTAGACCGTTCAACCTTTAGAGCAGTACTGACTATTACCAAGCACTTGGATTTCTAACTGTTGGGGCCCATTAGTTGGTGCAAATAAGAAGAAACTAAATCTGTAGATCCGTAACACACCGCTGACACAGTCAGTTACTCACAATACATGCAGTTCAGAAGAGTCCATTAGCTGGTAGATGATGTAGCAGCAGGCGAGGTGCACAGGTAGTTAGTTGTCTGTATCCAGATGCTGGTGCAGTAGCTGAGTCTGTCCTCACAAGCAGTAGCAACAGATGCCAATTAACACGGTGCTCCAGCACGTCCGTTTCCTTCCAGTCCTCAGCGAAAAATGAGGCTGGTGTTTACAGCTGACTGTCCCTCACGACGGTGCTAGCTTAAACGTCCATGTTTTACAGTCCAAATTACACTTTTTACAATGCGAGTGAAAACAACAAACCGCGGATAACCTGGCAACACTTTCACTTTGAACGTAGGGAAAACACGTTATATGATAATACTTGTGCCGATACTATAGAAGTATTTTAGTCTACAAATATTAATCACCGCGAAAAGACACTTAGTTTCCACCGCTGCGCTGGCTATGATGCACCTCTCTTCTTCAACATGTGTTCCTCGTTCTCCTTACCTATATTTTTTCTAAGCTGATCTCCGATTGGCTAAGAGTGTAGCTCTTCCCGAAACAAATTATTTTTGGCCAAATCCCAATGCCCCACCCCTCACAGACTCACAGACTTGGAGGCGCGTTCCCGGTGAGTTGGTGAGGGCTTAGGGCTGTCCCACTGTCAAACCATGGAGGGCATGAGGGCTCTCTAGCAGACAATTTGAGCTCTTTATGCAGACTTTTCGTAAGTCCGCATTTCTGCAGACTTTGCCTGAGGGTATTACCCAAAGTTCATAGCGTTGTGACATTCGACACGGGGTTACCATGGTTATCAGGGGACGCCCGGAAGCGTTAAAAATGGCAAACAACGGCCATAAAACGCAAGTAAAATAGGATAGAAGAAGAACGGTTAACAAATATGTATGAAAAGAATGAACCCTAATGTTAGCATTACAAGAAAAAAGACAGTATAATGACACCCGGATATTCATAAAACATAAAACACTGTTATTTAGGTGTATTTTGCAGGTCTCTACATAAGCCCTCTCTTTATCTCATTATCTTATCATTTCCCTATAATGTTAAACAGTATAAATAACCATGCATGGCACTGTGTTTCAGTCTTAGTGTTATCATCAAAGCCACGTTACAGCAAAGGTATTCAAGCTAGGTAGGGGGCGAAAAACATTTGAAATTTACACATCTACAGGTCCACAGCCCTCAGTGTCTTTTTAAAATCCTATATTTTTTTCCTTTTTGTCAAAACTGGTAACCCTCCAACAAATTTTGCTTGCCTGTAATTTTAGTGCTTTTGCATTGTAAGGACATCAATAGCCCCATAAGACCTTGGGCTATTTTTTAAAAACTGAATCAGAGAAATAGCATTCCAGTTGGGAAAGAGATGTTAGGTTAAATGGGAAATGACAATGACAACTAACTGAAATAAAATAAAAAATAAAAAGCTCCCAGCCAAGCCAACCTTTTTTCTCTACACTGTAAAAGTAGACAAAATTCAGCACTCTCTATTAAAGCTCCATAGTTACACCAGACATGTAAACCTGTGGGGAACATCTGCTCCATGTTCTAACAGCACCACAATTCATGTATGAAAATGTATATTTACTCTCTACCAGGAAATGTATGTGAAGCAGTTTGAAAAATCCCTTCACTCAGCTGAAGATGAACCCACCGTGAACTCTAGATAAACAGACATAGAAAGAACAAATGCTAAGCCGAAATCAAACAAGAGCACGGGAGAGAGGGTGAGCGGGTGCAGGGTAAATGGAATACAGTTTGAATATTTATTAAAGTTGACTTTCCGTGAACTGAATGTATAAGTAAAGCGGCAAATACAAGTATGCTGATCTTTTTACAGCTGCCCAAGCTGAATCATAAACTGTATAATTAAGCATCTGACAGTTGTTCCTGTGGCTCTCATTTTACATTGAGGTTAATGACGTCCAAGTGATTTGATGCTTCTGTTACTTGTGCATGTTTGTAAGTGTGTAGCTACAATTCAGGAAGTTCATGTTAAAATGAAAGATGCAGAATTGCCTAATTAAGCTTCACAAGGCTGCAATGCCCTCTCAAAGATAATGACTAGCTCCTCACACACATACACTGAGAGAGTCAAAACACAGCTCCTCACTACACCAGAGGAGGAAGCAATTATTGTAACTATGGACAATGGGCTATTACCATTGATCTTAGCATTGCTCTTTTATCAGAAAAAAAAGTAACAAGGTATTTTCAGCGGCAATCAGCTGTGCGATGATAAAAGACACATCAGATACACATCAGAGGGAGCCAAAACGAGATAATTGAAGTGATTTCAGTGCATCTCAGATTCTGATCCTCTCGCAGTGAAGACAGAAAAGGAGCGATGACCCAGTGAGAGAGCCAACTCATCCACAGTCGTCAGAAAATGATATACCGCACATTATAGGAGAGTAATTACACTGAGATCAAAGAACATTTTAGCAGTAATCTGCTTGACTGCATGATCAATTGTCTGTGTGATGAAATATTGATCCTCATGCTCTAGTAAGATCCAGAATTTGTGGGCTTCTCAGATGTTCTGGTCATGCTAGCAGCGTGGCTGTAGAGATGATGTCAGTGCCGGTTCACCAGTTTGGTCCAGACTGAAATATCTCAACTATTTTTAGATGGATTGCAATTGCTATAATCTTTATACATTCATGGCCCTTAGATGATGAATCATTTGGTAATAAACATTAACATGCAAGCATTCTCATTCCTATCATGCTAGCATGCTAAAATGAGCATTTAGAGCTCCACCGAATGTGGCTGCAGTTTTATTTGCTTGCATGCAATCTACATGCTTTCTGTGAGGCTGCCATGTTCATTTTTCTACAGTGCATGTGTACATGCATATTTTCATGCATTACATGTGTGCATGTAACAGGTGTATTAACATATAAGATGGCACAATGTGTAGGCAACAAAAAGAGCACCGGGGCAGGTTTCTATCTTGGTGCCTGCTTACTGCCCGGTGAGTGTCTGCCTACCCTCCCTGTTGAATAATGTAACAAGTGGTGAGTGGTGTGGGTGGTAGAGAGGGATGGCCTCTCCTCAAAATAGACTCCAGTGCAAAAGCTGAAGACTTCAGAGACAAGATACAGTAGCACAGTTCTGACAGCGATGGCACTCTGCAGTAATTTACAAAATCACAACCACTGCAGTGTGAGCAGAATCCTATAGGTGCTCCAAAGAGATCTCCAGAGATCGTTCTGGTTGAGTAAAAGTCAAACAAGAAAGATTAAAATTGCAAAGAATAATACCACGTCAGCACATTACAGTGGAGTGAAGTGCAAGGAGAGATTTTCATTAGAGAGATACTGCATGGATGTAGCAGCTGGGAGAAGAAAGACGCATCAAGGAAAAGGGTGCGTATGTGTATGTGGAGGATATCCTGCTTCATCCCTGGAGTGAACAGAGCAGGTGAGCCACAGAATTGGCGTTCAAACAGCAGCCAGCACTGATAATGCCTCTCTGGCCAGTGAGACAGGAGTGGTCACTCCCCTGTACACTCTGTGTGTGTGTGTGTGTGTGTGTGTGTGTGTGTGTGTGTGTGTGTGTGTGTGTGCAACCTGAGCACAGAGCGTCCTCATTTTTCCCAACTCCAACTTTCTCTGGACCGGCGACGGTCAGCACTTTGCGGAGATGGAGAGCGAATAAATGGCGCAAAGAGGGGTCCCACTGAAAGATGATGAGCACATGAAGACTTTAATGGTGGCATGTGTTGATAAGAAATCCGTGGGCACGTTTTGAGAGTCATCAGATTTCTGTGCATGTACTCAGCAGTAAGTCTTTCCACTGTGTGAGGCAGCAGCGGCTGCATTGGTACTATTTTTAGCAACAATGTTGCGGTAGAGGAATCAATCAAACTGGGGCTAAAACAGTGTTTTCATGACAATCGGCTTTGGTGCTGCAGTCTTCTGAGATCCCTATCTGCGCTTACCAGGTCATGGGATAGGACGTTAGCCTACATTTATATCTTTTTTTCCTTAATCTCAGTTGATGCCTAATGATCCATTTTCCTCTCATGCTCTCCAGGAACCGGTGGACTGCAAACTTTTGCACCATGGGACACGCTACAGTTTATGGCAACAGTGGCTGCAATGCTTTTGGGACCTCCTGTACTTTAGTGTCTCTTCACAGTCTTATAATTTTTAAAGAACACTGCAGTTTGGGATGTGAATGAGAATTATTTGATGATAAAGAACAAAAGAGCCTGAGAATCGGGAGGCGCGTGTTGGTTTTTTTTCTTTCTTCTTTCTCTTCTATCAAGTGCAAGCACATTTTTCGCTGGCTCTTATGGGAATTAAGCACTCGTCCCGCTGCATGCTCCTCAGGAGAAAAATGGCGGAGTCTGAGAGCAGTGAGGTAAGTGTGACAGACACCTTTGATTTTCCCTAATTAAAATGACAGCTAAGGGTTTTTTGGGTTTTTTGGGTTTTTTTTTTTTTTTGGAGTCCTCCTAAATGCACCCTGCAGCAAGTGTCCTACCTTTAACAGAAGTTGCATCCCGGACAAAATGCAGTATGCTGACTGTCCGGATAGTGAGACAGCAATCTGAGTAATGAGTCTCGGTAAGGATGTTTAGCCCCTTCGACAAAACAGGCATTTTGTGCCGAGCAGGCGCAAGAGAAGTGAGTGTTCCCAACATCGAGTGCACTTAGAAATTTTTATGCAGTCTTGCTGTTCTTTTTTTCTCTTCCCGTGTATCTCCCAAGGTTAGGATGCTGTGGAGGAGGAGTAGCCTACGGTTTCACTTTTATTCTACTAGACAGAGCAGTGACAGGATGGAACAAAAAAAGTATCTGCTTTCCCTCCCATCCGTTCTCGGGGTAGAGATCCCTCTGTAAAGGTCTCATAACATCTACATGTATTTGCGGTCAAAGCACGTGAAAAAGAAGCAGTTTGAATGAGGAGTGTCCTGTGAGAAATATGTGTTGGAACGGGAGGGAGTGCTGCTGCCTGACGCTGCGCTGAGATCGGAATTCCTTGCGCTGTCCAAGGTACTGCAGCACCTTGCAGAGGGAGCGGAGAGCGCAGGGACTTGATGTGGAGAGCAATTCTGCAGAAAGTAGGGTGAGCAAAAGACGTGCTGTGTCTTTGGCTTCCCAAATGGACACGATGGGAGGTCTAAATTGGGGATCCCCGGGAGGAGGGAGGTGCTAGTTTAAGTCCAGCTTTCACAGCCACTCCATCCCAAAATCTTGTACTGCAATTTCCCCAAATGCACAGCGAGGAATCCATCCACCCTGGCTCCTTTCTTTTTTTGGTGGTGGTGGTGGTGGTGTGGGGGGTGCTGGGTGGGGGGGTGTACATTCAGCACAGCACAACATGATCCCTATGTTTTATTGAGTCCTGTGCCACATCTGTATTCACAATGTGGCTGGATACTGGAGGAGAGATTGCTGATTTATTTGAAAGTACTGCTTAGAGGATTCAAACACCCTGTGAAGTTGTAGACAGCCTCGTGTTGCTTCCTTATACATTATTCATCAGAAAACGTTTCCTCAAAGCAAGTTTATTCATGGCAGAAGCCCTCCACCTCAAACTCTCAGTGTTTTATCAATAGGCTCATACATCTGAGGGCAGATGGAACCTGATACATGATAATAAGAGGACACTGGTTGGATGTTAGATGGATGAAGCTTTCTCTTCTGCTGCTGTTGTCTGCTGTTTGGGGTTGTCAGAACCATCTAAGAGGTGTAATGGCAGAGGACCAAAATGAAAAATTAAGATGCCAATTTCCTTTGATTACTAAAGAAAACACCTTCCCCACAGAAGGCCATAATATGTATTGTATGTGATTTTTTTTTGTTGCAGTAAAATACTAAACATCCTTCAGCGCTGACATAGAGTTTACCCACAATCCAACCCCTGACATTACCACTGACTTCAGAATTAACAATACACAAACAGGAGGGGTCAACGTCAACAGTCAGACAGTTACAAAGTGAGTGTGTCCCCTCACGCTGACAAGTACCGAGTCAATGTCCTTCTCAAATAACACGTCTCACTTCAGCGTGGAGATGAGGATCCAGTCTGAAATAGAACCTCAGACGTGTTGATCTGTGTTGAGGGTCAGCAGCAAGGACGTGCGCCACCCTCTCCGTCCTGTGTCAGGGCATCTCAGTTACACTCACTGCAGCTGCTCCCCAGGTCGACTTTAATCCATCCATTAATGACACCCTGTAGTGACTTTGTTTTCTCTGCGCTGCAACTTCTGATTCTGTATTAAACTTGGCATCCTTAATCATCTCCTCGGTGGCCCTGTCTTGTAATTATTGACTCTGAGTGTTGGCTTCTTGCCAGCTGTTTGTCAAATGCTGTTTTATTTATTTATTTATTTATTGCTTTTGCTGTTGTAAGTTGTTTTTTTTGTTTTTTTAGAGATGCCAAGATTTAATCTGATCTGCGGTCTTTACACCCGGGTTAGAGATGAGTTGCTCAATGGAAACATTTTATTAAAAGCATCAATTAAAGCACAAATTCAGGCAGTGACATTAAAGTTACCTCGATGACCCCAGTGATTAACATGTTGTGTGAATATCTATAACAGAAATAGTGGGTTAATACTGTAGGCTGCAGTGTGCTGAGCCTCCGCAGATCATCACCATGGCTTAACGGATTAGGAGAAGTTCAACAGTTGGTCTTTGCTTCTAAATTAAAAGTCAAACCTTCATTAAGTGTGTCATCTTTTATATAACCATCACAACACTCTGAACTTTACCGAGCACTTTTCCCAGCAGTTGGTTGCTAAAGAGTGAATGTTACTCTGCATTCATGTGACTTTTTCAAAAAGTTTTCATGTTCAGATGCTTTATCACTGATGTTATTCATCCCAGTCAACTTCAAATAGAATTTTTGTACAATTTAAGGTTTACATTTTGTATGATTTTATTCACTATTGATTTATTCAATCATGAATTCATTTATTCAGTCTAGCAGGCTCTGCGCTTACAGTGGTGCTTTAAAGTAAATGCTAATGTCAGCATGCTAACATGCTCACAGTGAGAAGTGTTTAACAGCTGCAACATTTACCATGTTCACTTTTTACTTCAGCTACTTGCCACTAAACACAAAGTGCATCTGAGGCTGATGTCTTTAGCTATGCAGGTATTTGCTCATGATCCAAAGACAAATTTAAATCTTGACCTGATGATTGCGCTGGATGAAAAGTCAGGGGATCACCAACATGACCACAGATCATCAAGAATATGAATGTCTGCATCAGATTTCATTGTAATCTATCATCTAATAGCTGTTGAGATATTCCAGTCTGAACCAACAGACAGACATCGCCATAGAGCTACACACAGCATGGCTTCTACTCTGACACAGGTCAGCTGCAGCCTGGATGCACCATGTTGCGACCAGGTATTTTCACGCATCATTTTCTTGGTCACCATGTCCCGGTCTGTGCTGCAGCAAAAAGGAAGAGGAAAATAAATACTCAGTGACGGTTGTTTTGAAGAGATAGATAGAGGTGAGAGGAGAAGAAGGGGGAACAGAAGAGCAATCGACTTGCACAAGGAAAAATCAATTCCACTGACAGAAATCTGGCTTTAAGTCCAGCAGATCTATGTGCCACAGTGCTGTTGCTGCAAATCACAGCAGTACGACTTCATCCATTAATGAAGCCCCCCTCACTCACTCTGCTGTATGTCAGTCCTATTAGATTAAACTGAAGAATAAATGACAAATGTTGTCATTTAACTGAAACCGAAACAATTAACTGAAACTTCCTGAAATCAGAGTGGGTTTCACTTGCTACCGCAGGTTATTGTTGTAATTGCAGCACTTCAGCCGCAGCCTAATGAATGAAGCTGCTCTTAGACAAGTTGGAATTCCTCATTTACAGGTGACGATATGTGCGACACATAAAACACAGCTCTGAAAAGTACACAAGCAAAATGTAATCATGCAAGAAATGCTTTAAATTCTAGCAGCAGCATGTTACATAATGCGCTGCAAGATCAGGCTGATAGATGCGAGATGAAGAGGCGATAACAACAGTAGAAAGATGTGAAGAAAAGATGTGTTTTTGCCACACTTTCAGGAACTAAAATGTTTTATCTTCTAGATAGGATATCAATATATATACTGTTGTAATACTGCAATATCCCTGTTAACTGTCCAGCAACACATATTTCTGTCCACCTTTATGTATTTTTAGAAGCGTGAAAGTTGGAATGAGAATAAACACCAGAACGGCTTCCTGGCTCTCAACACTGAGATGCTGTTTCTCCATCCTTCTCTCTCTCTCTCTCTCTTTCTCTCCCTCTCTCCATCTCTCTCTCTTTCTCTCTCTCTCTCTCTTTCAAACTCACAAACCAACACACACACTCCATGACTAGACCTTCCCAGCATGCTTTAGAGGTGATAATCAGGGCATTATGGATGTACCTTCTGTGCAGAGCAGAGCACTCTTGCTTTCTGCCTTCTGCTGACAGACTCTATGTCAGTGATCAGTGATCCTCCAGACTCAGTTGGACTCTCTGGTCTGGCCGAGCAGCGAGCTGACAGATGAGCTGAGAGGCATGAGAGCAGATAAAAATATTAAGGGGAATGGATAATGAGTCTGAGCCAATTACTGTCCTTGAATGCAAACCACACCCTCTGAGGTGTTGCTGTCACATCCTTGTTTTGCTTCTTACTCCAAAAGGAGTTAGACTGACTGAAGTCCAGGGTCTCCAGCCTTAATAAAGACTTTTTTTCTCCTTTATCTCTCCCTCTCCAGCTGCCACAGCCGCAGCCACAGCCGCAGCCAATCCGCATAATTCCATCCCAGTCGGCACAGCCCACCTCGTTGCCCAAGCCTGTGCCTTCCATCCAGCATGCCACGCGGCCTCCTCTCCCGCCGCACACGCCCCACGCCGCCAGCCTCCCAAGCTGTCCGGGGCGGGGCAAGATGTCCAAGTTCCTTAATCCAGAGGAGATGACCTCACGGGACTACTATTTTGACTCCTATGCTCATTTTGGTATCCATGAGGTACGCCTGTACGTCCTATCACTGTGAGAATTCTCCTTATTCCTGTATCTGTTATCGCCAGTGACAGACAGACGTGAATCATGCATGCTAACTGTTTTTCATGGGCTCTCGCACCACCTGTAGACAATACTTGACCATGTGGAATATGCATCTTCCCTGACACACTCAAGTAATGGTCAACACAGCTCCATATAAAACTATGAGTTTTTGCAACAGCATAGAGTCAAAATTAAAACTCTTGTATGCCACAGATGTTCACTGAAGCAGTGTCATAGTGCCAACTACTTATTTCTCACATTGTGAATCAGTCAACGGCAGTGAATGCACCTGTTCTCATGCGTTGCATTTATAAAACTCTGTTCGGGGACGCAATAGATTAACATTGAACCAGATGTAGTTGACATTTACATGGCCTCTGCGCTTCCCCCATAAATGGCTCAGATAATACAGTTAGACCTCTGACTTCCTGTTTGATCACTGGTTTGGCTTCTCAGTGAACCTCTCGCAGAGTCACAGTGACTGCAGATCACAGCTATGAACTCTGTGGATGAGATGTCATCATGATAACCAATAGGAGTGATGGCTAAATAATGATTATGTCTATGTCTATTATGTCTAAAATTGTAATAGCTCAAAAAGAAAGAAAAAGAAAGAAAAAGAAAGAAAAATGAATGTAACTCACATGCAGATACAAATGCAGATTTTAGATGTTGTAAAAGCAACACTAATATTTACCTTCTTTTTATGCTGATGTTGGTGTCCACGTCTTTTTTTTCTCCTTTGTTTCTCCTCCTCCTTTAGACATAATTGTTTTACTCTGATGGTGATTTAACGATGTGTGACTTTTAGCTCACCCTCTTGATATGTACTGCCCCAGCAACCTCTAACAACCAAGAGCTTTATGTCATAAATGGTTAGGGCCGTGGTTGGGGTTTCGGTCAGCCAATCCCATCAAAGGACAGGAGATATGAACCCCCGTCTGGGAGAAGTTTCTGCCTGGGAGGCTCAGCTCAGGGCAGATGCCATGCTTAAGCTCTACACGGAGTGTGGGCATGGCGGAGAGTGGCTGGAGACTGGCGCTTGTTCAAAACTCCTGAAAGTTTTTCAACAGTGAGACATTATTTAACACCTTTCTTTATGTATCTCGCATTCCCACCATTCAGGAGCTGATATTTTCGTCTCTATGTGGTCGCCTCCTCCCTCAGGGTTCAGCAGCAGTCTAAAGAGAGGAGAGAGAAGGTGTTCGAGGCGGCATAAAAAAGAAACACGTTTTCTCGTGTGACCTGCGAAATGAATTTTTTATATTTTGGGAATGTAGGTCAGGTGTATTTTTGTCATTTCTGAACATTTTTCACACTCACATTCATGCACAGAGAGAGGCAGAGACAGAAAAAAAAACAGGTGCAGACAGGCTGATCCTGCAGGCTCATGGGGCTTATTCAGAAACACCAACCATGGATTTGAATGTAGAACCATATATCTGAGATGAGATTAGGCGAAGCCTGTGTGTTATTTGTCACTGCTCCACTGCAGATATCACAGCAAATCCAGACTCCCGATGTCCAGCCAACCTTTTTTTTTTTTTTTCTAAACAAAACAAATTGTCACTCTCCTCAGGGTTTAGCCGTGCCAGCGTCTTCATGATATTATTTGTCATATGCTAAAACCAGGAGATGCTGAAGGACGAAGTGAGGACGCTCACCTACAGGAACTCCATGTACCACAACAAGCACGTCTTCAAGGACAAAATAGTGCTGGATGTTGGGAGCGGGACTGGGATCCTGTCCATGTTCGCGGCCAAGGCGGGGGCAAAGCACGTGTATGGGGTAAGACGTGTTTCTTTACAGCGGAGTGTTATCATGCTGAAGCATCAAGGTCTGATCACTGCAGAGAGACCAGCCTGACAAGCTGCTCACACATGTAGGATGCGTGAGTGGCCGGTTTCTTTGTGTATCTGTACACGCATTTGAACCAATCTGCCTCAGATGCCCTCTACGTCTTCAAGGACTCTCTCGTCTGACAGGCAGGTGATAAAACTGTGTGGCCTCTCAGGCAGGTTGACAGGCCCGAGCCGTGGCGATTTGAGAGCTCTCACTGTTATCGTGTAGAAGTAATTGCTAGTCTGAGGATACATGCCGGATACACACCAGTAGCTTGGGATAACCACGTGGAACTTATTTTAGTTTTTTTTGCTTCAGACAGCCCATATTTGCTTCAGGGGAGGAATGATTTACTCGGAATTGCCAAGAGAGTTGTCCTGAGCTACTGCTTGACATTATGTGTTTATGTGTGTGTGACTTCGCCTCGTGTCTTGTGTTTGTTTGTCTTCCCTCCTCTGCTGCTTCACTCACTTTCTCCCTCCCTGCCTCCTTCCCTCTCTCTCCCTCTCTCTCTCTCTCTCTCTCCTCCTGCTTTATGTACTTTAAAGTGAAATCTCACTTCAGTTTAGGCTTTAGCTCACATTTGTGTTGCTGCTGTCCGTCTGGCAGGGTTTTAGCAGCGTAAATGGGACTAAGATTTAAGGGATTTAGTTCACTTTCGACTTAGATCCCTTCAGTTTTAAGTCCGCGCCAAACCCCATACCTTTATCATACCTAAAGCTTATAAAGCTTGATATAAACGTTGGGCCTGAGAGGTGGAAGGACTGGGCCCCGGGCCAACAGGAACATCATTCTGTCATATGGACGTCGTTAGAGACCAAAGAAAAGTGATGACTTCAATTCCGGATCCACAGAGTAGCAATAAAAGACTCTTTGGTGCTACTAAATTCCATATGTCAGACAGCTATACATCCTGATACACTATGCCCACATTTATGAGCCCACATTTGTATCCCATCAGTAAATGATTAACATAAAAACTCATTTATATTTATAACACCTAAAAACTGATATTATTAAAGCAATCTTTTTTGTTTTTGTTTATTTTCTCCTTGATTACGTAACAGAAAATTTCCAAGTTCAACAGCGTGGAAGTAAAACATACTGCTTATTTGCACTCAAACAATCTGCAGTACATGCAACCGATTGCTGATGCTAATTTTATTTCAATCAGGAGAGAATAATAAGAGGATCAAAACAGTATGAGAAATTTGAAGGCACCCTCCTACCCCCCCCGGTAGGAAGTGGATGGCCATGGGAAGCAGTCCATAGGTTTAAGTTCCTTCCAATTAGAGGAAACTTCCCCTGGAGCCTAGACACTGCGGCTCGTGATAAGGAATGGAGCTCAAGGGTGGGGACATCTTCGTGAGAGGGAAACTTCTGACGGGATGGTTTGATCGCAGATGGTCAGGCATCCACGCCTGAGGTGGTGGAGGGGTGGAGGTGGGTCACGAAATGTTCAAGGTGCTGAAATTACAGCAACATGAGATCACACGTTTAAAGTTTGACAGTTTACAAGTGATTGGCTAAAGGCCAGCATGTCAGGTTGTGATTGGATGAAGACAAGAATGAGCTTGGTGGAGCTTAGAGACAGCGGGAAACGGTGCTTGTAACTTAGAGATGAAGGAACTTTCGCTAGGCTTCATTTGTAGGACTTACCTGTAGCAAGGAGGCGAGTACGGAGAGTAAATCATTTGTGTTTAGCGTGGTCAGTCCATATAGTTAAGTCACCAGAAAACCGTGGACAGCCTGTAGTATACAGTATGATACCTGCCTTGCTTGAAATCATAGAAAACCAATGTCAACTAGACTTGCAAGCCGGTCTATCAGGGTCAAAACACCCAAAAGGACTCAGAACCAGAGGCGCAGCACCCAGGGGCAACCAGGAGGCTAAGATCATTGTGGACCAAAGCTTAAACAGGTGGTTTAATATGTACTGGGTAGGCTCAGATGCCTGTTTGCAGTGCTTACAGACAGGATCTGATCCAGCCTTGGCTCAACAAATCATTTTGCAGCTCATTCACTGGAGTTAAAGGGTCTCGTTGTTTGGAAACTTTCACCAGGTTTTGTAACTTTGAAGACCTCCTTTGGGCAGACATTAACTCCTCTGCCTTGAAGAACGTCGCCAGCGTTTCTCAGCGAGTGTGTCCTCTCGCGCGGCTGTGTCTCTGAAGCGGGTTCTGCCCTCTTCCACTCACAGAACACACAGACAATTTTGAAGTAGGCTTCAGCTGCTTTCACTGAAAATAGCTGGCAACAGTGAAGAGAGCCAGATACTTGTGATACACCATAAATGTGTTGAGGTGAGATGAACACAGCTCCCGAGGTTTTGTTTCTCCTGCATGTAACATTAGGCAAATGAGCCCGATTGGCTCCTATAGCTTCACTCTAGTGTTGCTTTAGTGGAAAACAACTTTGGCTATAGCACATGATTTATACAAGACTGACTCTGTTCTTACTTTACTTTTTCCCAACACACTGTGTGACTCGCAGGTTAACAGCTCAGACCGAGGAGAGAAATGCCATGACACCTGGGTGAAGTTACAAACTTGTACTTGCTGTGTCTCCGGAGAGGAGGCCTAGTGGGAGCCCGCGGGGATGAGCACAGTGACAGTGACTCTTCCTGACACTAGTGAGAGGTGCAAGAGGCATCGTGTGAGGGGGTGTTGACTGTAAACACGCCTCCGGGCTTCAGTGCTCCCACTGAAGCGTGACTCTGATGGACACATGGCTAATGGCTGTCTCTCCTCACTGAGATTCAGCAAGACATCAGGAATCATCGCCAATTAGAGGGCTGGCGTTGGCAGCCCTATTATCACACACTATCAAAGCACAGCAATACACACACACACACACACACACACACACACACACACACACACGTGAGTGCGCGCTTTCCTACAGCTGGTATAACCATAGGTATTGCTGTTTGTTTACACAGTTGACACAGCCTGATTTTTAATGGGCAGCTGCATCGGTGTTGTGTCAGAAGGCTGTGGGCGCCACCAGCAGCCTCCTGACCGGTCCTCTGCTAATAGGCAGCAGAGAATAGGGCTGCTCCAGGGAGGCAGAGCTAATGTGAAGTCCTGCATTCTGTATGCATGCTGAGTGGGGAAACTGGAGACCTCAGCTAGAGAGCTCAGGTTAATTTCAGTATGCACCGCGCAACAAAAACGAGAAAGATCCCTTTATTTGTCTGGCTCACAGTCGGTGTGTTGCCCATAAAGCATGTCTAATCAGTTCCTGCCCCCCAAAATAAAAGACCCTATAGACCTCATTCTTCCATGAAAGCCGAGGCACAGCTGAGCGCTTCAATTTTCAAGCCCGCTCTCTTGACAAGGGTCCCAGCCTGGCTTTGCTTTTTTTTATGATCCAGAGCACCTAGAGTTCACTCAAAAGTCCTCTGCTTGATTACGACCAGATGGATTTCTATGGCAGCACGAATAAGTCCACACACCTCTGACAAACAGAATCCCGGGGAAAGTGGAGCAGAGCGTACACACTCAGGTGAAAATCTATACCCTCTTCCTGACTATGCCTGATAATGTAAAAGCTTGGTATTCACAAATGCCTCCTGCTGAATCATGTCCTTATTTTGTTTGAACACTGCTTACGAAAGTGTCCGGAGTTTATTCTTTTTATAACTCTGTTACTGCTGGCGCCTGAATAAATCAGTCATGAGCTGTGCATTGGTGGGCAGAGCAGGAAGTAAGAAAATGTCAGGCAAGGATTTCAGGATTCAGAGAAGGGAGGGCAGAAAAGAAAAGGTGTGAAAGAGAGAGCAGGGAGGAAAACGTGACAGAGATGCAGACATTTCAGGAGGAGAGAAATGGGAGAGAAGCAGTGGGGTAAGGATCATTTAAAAGAATTTAAAATGTCAGAAGAGTAATGAAAGTAAAGTTGAAGGTCTCATTGGAGCTAAATGGCTGGTTGCAGATGAGCAGTGACTAATCGTCATTGTAATTACATTTGAATAAAATGCTGTGGCAGCGCTTCAGCTTCAGTGATAGTGTGAATTCCGTCCCTGTATCTTAAACCATCCACTATTTTCAAATTGACTCCAGGACACTTCATGCATTTCTCAATTCACCACAGTGCAGGATGCCAGATGATAATCCCTCTTTTCTTAGCCCCTGCTGCCCTCAGGCTCACAAGTCACAAACGTACTGTAAGCGATAAAAACCTGCTTATTGCCATCAAACACGGCTCATTAGCTCACCTCCACCAGCTGGCAAACATCCAGCTGCCCGGTTTTCCATTTTGCAGTTGTTCGGTTTAAAGGAATAAAGTGTGTCGAAGGTTTTCTAACCGGGTGCAGGCCAACGGTGCTGTATTCAGGACTGGACTGGAAGTCGTGCAAAGAGAGAGACAAAGTAAAGGTGATCTTGTTTCACCTCATGGGTGGCTGCAGTGTTGGACAGACATGATGTGCCGTTAAAGATATTCCTCCCGAAATATCACAGTTCTTCGTGTACAATCAGTGAATTGGTTTTTCTCTCTTTTTTTTTTTCTTCCAGATTGAATGTTCCAGTATATCCGAGTACTCAGAGAGGATCATCAAGTCCAACCACCTCGACAGCGGTAAGAGCCGCTCCTCATCTCTCCCTTTTAATGACACTGCACTTCATCCTCAGTGAAGGGAGCAACAGTCCAGGTTACGGTAGTGACAGAGGGAAGGAAGAAGAGGAAGCAGAGAAGGCTGGCAGAGGAGATGCATGAAGAGATGAAGAGGAGGGGTGGTCACCGTTCAGGATCTGATCTGAGGGGACGGTCAAATTCAGAGTCTGTTTGCCATTCCTCACTGCACTGGGCCGGCTCATTTGTATTTCATTTGCATAAACACGCTTTCAACTTATGGAACTTCAAAGCGTATGTCGTATCATATAACACCTCTGCAAGTTCGAAAACAAATTTACAGCCAAGCTACTGACTGTGCATCTACCAAATAACAGTAACTGAGAGTAGAGTTCACAGTAGATTCAGTCCGAGTTTTGGACAGTGAATAAGCAAAAAGCAATCAGCAGACACTTGTATCACTAGGGAAACTCTTCAGTAACTTCTTGCCAAAGCAGAGCAAACAAAGCTGAAGTCAGCTAATCACAGGCAGGACAAAGATCCACTCCTCCATTGTGAAGTAGGTCCCAGCTGGGCTGATTACCATAAGAAAAGCAGGGCTGCCATGGTAGCACATACTGTACCAACGGATTTCTTTCTTTCTTTCTTTCTTTCTTTCTTTCTCACATTTTTAGGCCTGATCAGTCCTGAATTTCAGTATTATCTGGTTTGTAAAGATTCTTTTCTTCATGCCAAAATATGAGCGCTAATTATGCTTTAAAAAATACAATCTTTGTTTCAGTGATCACCATCTTCAAAGGCAAGGTGGAGGAGGTGGAGCTTCCTGTGGAGAAGGTTGACATCATTATATCTGAGTGGATGGGCTACTGCCTCTTCTATGAATCCATGCTCAACACCGTCATCTTTGCCAGGGACAAGTGGCTGGTATGATGTATGGAGTCTGTGTGAGTGCGTGGCATGATACTGTTTGTTCATGTATGCTGTAATAACATCAGGGTCTTAGCTCCCTGGGACAAAACAAACCATAAATGGATTTTTTTTGTTTTTTTTTAGCAAATAGTTTCATAACCCCCCCCAACATAAGGCTTCTTGGCTGAAGATTTCTAGCTCTAAAAAAAATTTGAACTGATAACCTCATAACAGTCTAAATTCAATTAGCAGCGGTGGCTCTTTAAAACAGAGAATTTCAACCTTTTCAGTTTATGACCCCTTGAAAAGAAGCACTGTGTCCTTGCAAAAAGTGTTTTTCATGCATATTGAATGCGAATAATTTCCCCGAAAAATGAAAAATTATCCAAGACAAAAAAACAATCAGTAAAGTTTAAAATAACTTCAACTTTTGTTGCAGAAATGTTTTTTTTACTTCTTTGCTTTGCTGTTTATAAGGAAGCCGATTACTGCCACTTCAAAATAAAGGTTTTTATCATTATTCTTAATGTTTTTTCCACAAATTTTCACTAATATTCAGATAACTGTATGTAATTAGTATGATGTCATTAAGAACTCATAGATTTAGAGATGAGAGCAAAGTTAGCTTGACCCAAGGAGCCACAGTGACCACACTTATGGGAAATATGCCAGGTTGAAAAGTACCAGAATTTCTCCTTAAACATGAATAATCCATCTCACGACCCCCCCAAACTGATCTTGTGCAGGGTGCTGACCAACAAGTTGGGAACCACTGCTTTTAAAGGGTTGCTCATTAGCTACATGATGCTACAGCTAAAAGCAGAGATGAGTTAACTTCATTACTAATTGCTAAACTCGATAGTGCAAAAATTACAGAAATAAAACAATGCAATGGTAGATTTTATTACATTAATATAATGTTATTGGGATGTTAAATTATTACTAACTACTACCTCGTGTTTCTGCTTAATAATTTGTATTATCAGTTATAATTATAGTCCTGTAGTTATAAATCATGAACAGTGAACACAGTCGGAACAATAACACCTCAATAATTTCAATTTGTTCTTGGTTGAGGAATGAAATGTCACTAGTGCTGTAATGTGGACATTTTATAATGTGTTCAGGATTAATTGCTGAGTTATTTCCTCGCCTCATTTGTCAAACAGAAACCCGGTGGATTAATGTTTCCTGACCGTGCCTCTCTGTACGTGGTGGCCATCGAGGACAGGCAGTACAAAGACTTTAAAATACATTGTAAGTTCAATGTGAGAGAGTGTGTGAGTGTGTGAGTGTGTGTGGGAGGTGAACTTGTACTGTGAGATGCCACTTACCTGTACTGTGCCGGGTGTACTCGGCGCAGCTCTTGGGTGGCTATAACCAAGATTATGTCTCTACATTATAAATGAACCATGGATGTAGAACATCATCCACACCTCCGCACTGCACTCACACAATTGTGGGCGCACTCATACAGTACACAGCCTTGCCAGCACTGCAAATGATTTTGAACTTTTCCTCAGGCATAACACTGGGGGCGATAATTGATATTATAAGTCAACAAGCCTCTCCATCTCTGTATCATCCCACTCTAAAACCCGCCAGGAGGACTGTGGGCGATGTTTTGCTGTTGGACACAAAGCATAAGAACAGCGCCAAAGTCAATGTTAAGCCAGTGCACAACCTAGATGACAAAAGGCAAACAGAACCACAGCCCATGGGCCTCCTACTCACACTCCCCCATACATGTGGGAAATTATACAACCACACCGCACCAGATAATATCCGCAGAAAGTCATATCACATTGTCTCGCTGCGTCGCAGGCTTTCCTATCACGTCTGGATACTTCAATTTAGTCTGCCATTATTCTGTATTTCAGAACTTTACACATGACTGAAGTGAGTGGTGAGACAAGTGCACATACTGACCACATACTCCTTTTTCTCCAGGCAGATGGCCAGAGACGACCTTTAGACTGAGTTAGAAGCGGCCCTCTGAGATAGTCCGGTATTCTAAGAGCATCCTGTGGTCATTAGTGCTACTCTGGGCTGCACACTGCCTGAGTTAAGTGGGCAGCAAAAAATGCAAATACAGTACATTACAAAAATCCCCGGTGGTTTGTGACCTGTTCATTATCACCAGCTCTCGACGCACTCAAGCAATTCTCTCTGTTTGGGTCACAACAGAGATGTTTGCTCACGCACTATTTTCAGGAGCTTAATGAATAATGTATGGGATGGTTTAGCCTGAGCAGCGAGGCTATCCCGGGCAAGAGTGGACTCTGTGTTCAAGGAGAGTCATATTTACAAATCAATACAATATGACTTTCATCCGTCAAAATGAAAACTGTTCCAAAACACCAGGAAGTCTAACTCTAAGGTCATAGATCAGATGATTCTGGGAAGCTCTGTAAATAAAGGCCCAACTGCAGCTGCAGCCCAACTGCTTACACCTCCTGTGGCTTTTCCCATCCTACAAACTGAATAAAAACTTGGACAGAAGAAAAGTGTGTCATATGTTTGCAATTGACAAATAACAGATAAAAAATATATTGAAATAATTCAATGATGATGTATTTGACAGGGTGGGAGAATGTATATGGCTTTGACATGACCTGTATCCGTAACGTGGCGATGAAGGAACCACTGGTGGACGTGGTGGACCACAAACAGGTGGTGACCAACTCCTGCTTGGTGAAGGTTAGTAAAATGTTGATCATATTTTGGCTGCAGGGGAGAGAAGGCCGAGTTCTGTCATAATATCATAAAGTAGTGGGCTGTTAACTCCATCATTCTGTGACCAAGATACACACAGTACACAGTAGTAAACTCTGTAATGGAGACTGTAATGGCTGTTTTACTATGCTCCAACTTCCTAGACCACTTAGTCTGCAGGGTATCTTGTTTTGACCCGTGTTACACAGAATTAAATCCAAGCTTATTGTGAAAACCCAATGTTGTTACACTTGAACAAGGGTTTATATGTGTATACAAGCATCAAAGCAGGTGATCCAATCTCACATCTCAGCCCTACTCTACATACTGATGGCGGTAAATCCGTTGGATATCACACAGTCAAAAACTTTTATCGATCCAAACTGTGCTGACCTCCTATTAGCGCTGTTTTATCCAAAGCACTGAACTGTTTTACGGCATAATCACCTCTCGTAAACTACAAATAGTGGGGCAGATAGGAAAACTAATTGTGCCTTTTATGACTAAAGCATGAAAGTTTCAGCATATTTTTGCAACATTTCTTTATTACAATCATGTATGTCTTTGCCAAAAGTGCACTGTAAACACCTAATAAAGATGCTGCTATCACCATGTAACATAATTTTGCTTTGGGCACCAGTTTTGCAGGGGAACTGAAAAGTCCACCATTTCCTGGTGTTAATGTAGCTACAGCTTGTTAAAAACATTGACAACTTCTGCTTTTTGTTCCATGGAATTACATGACTAGCTAGCACATTGGTGAAAACACTCATCAAAAACTAGCATGCTAGCTTGGTCTGGACCACACTCATGTCCAAGGGGTCAAATCTGAAATGCCTTTACATCTGTGTTTTATGTGTTTATTTTATAGAAACACTGAAGAAAGTGTCATGCTTTTGTCATAAAATGCACAATAACATTCCATATACAAGCTTATCTTATCTGCTGCACTAAACCATATAACTGTATTCCCACACTTTACAGCAGAATGCAAAAGAGTAGCAGTAAAGACAACAATCTCACCACAAGATCACTTAAAAAGTGGCTGAAAGCTCCATGAATGCACCTCATGGTGAGATCAACATCATCATCAGTACTGATTATTACCAAGGTGCTAATGGCACACACACATTATCACCCCCATTTTATGATGCCAGTCCACTTGTCACTTTCAGAGAAAACTAGGCCAATAGTAACTAATTACGAGTGATTACCGCGTTGAGTGTATAGTCTCAGTGTATTATAAATTGTTGCGGGGATGCTGGCATGATTTCAGTGGTCAAAAACACACACAAACACACACATACACACACACACACACACACACACACACAAATTTTACTATAACTACTCACAGACACTGATTGATAGCTAAACATATTGTGTGACATGCTGCGGCCCCAGTCTGACCTTGATGTGTGGCCTTTGCCCCGTCTGTGCATCTCACTGTGTGGATTAGACTGATCTGCCAGCTGTGCCATGCATGTCAATAGCAGCCTGTCTAGTCGTCCTGATTGTGCTCCTTGTCATACTGACCTTCTTATCGCTGGCGTTGATTAGACAGCTCTGGCCTGTCTCACCTCTGTCCTGGAGGAAAATTGCTGTGCGATCGTGACAATACCTCGACTTCCACGTCTTTGCCGCTGATTGCTGATTGTTTGTGTTGTCATTCATATCAGTCAGACTTTCATTTTAAATGCAGTGAGAAATTGCATTAAACTTTTACAACAATTTTACCCTGCTGACAAGCTTTATAGTCTTTAAATGGATTACTGCATGACCTCATTAAAGGTGTACAGCCCAGTAATGGTACACATAGGACCAGTGTTATTACGCTGCTGCTTGAAACTAACAATACTCAGTGAGGATCATTACCCAGTATAATCCTGCAGAAAATAATTTATTTAACATTAACAACCTGCATTATAATACTCTTTAAATTTTTATTTTGCCTTTAGAGTAACTGCGAGAGGGTAAACGTTGCAGCGCATTACATCGCTGTATTAAACTTTGAAATGTGACTTTGAGAAGTTTGTACTGCATGACCACAGTAAATATCTTCAAAACGTGTTTATGGGAGTAATTATTTTTTAAAGACAGCAGGGGGAATCTGACATTAATATTGCATGTTTTTATTGCCAACAAACATAAGGCTCATTCCTCCACAGCAAATGTGGCATCTGGCACCAAAAGCCAATGAGCAAGCAGCGAATATCTATTAGCATCGACGGTACATGAAACACGATTATCACACCTCTGCCTACATGTTTACCCCGCAGTGTATGGTTTCAGGTGAGCTGCCCCCCCCCCCAAAAAAAATAAAAAAAATAAAAAAGCTAACATGATATGTGACGCAGTGCTGTTCATGACAGCAAACCAGGGAGTAGAACAACATGTTCTTCTCTGAACATGGCCTAGAGGGACGAGGAGGTATCAGATACCCTGTTAAACTGGCTGAAACCAGGGGACATACACATACAGTATTTGGCTTGTAAACACCATACATGAATAACGTGCAGTCCGACAACAGTGTTCCCACAAGCATGACTCCTTGTCCCACCTATATATAAGGGTTACTGGCCTCATTCTTGATGGGTATTAGGATCTTGGCACAGTCAGAGTGAGGTTTAGTGGTGACAATATATTTTTTCGCAGGTGGAAGTTGTACTTTACTTCATGTCGTTCTTTTGGTCTCCTTTATGTCTTGTACATGACATCACAAATCTTCTGGATTTGTTTCTGCACCAGCAGCTCTGCAGAAGCATCATAGCATTAGAGCAGTATTTTCTCAGCTCAACTCTTTGCAAGAACGCAAACAAGAATATCCTTAACGACTTACACTGTCAGACTTTTGTTTATGTAGTCCAGACGTGTGAGAACAGGCCATCTCTTTACTCTTTCAGGAGGTGGACATCTACACAGTGAAGACTGAGGACCTCTCATTCACCTCATCGTTCTGCCTTCAGATCCAGAGGAATGACTACATTCATGCACTGGTCACCTACTTCAACATCGAGTTCACCAAGTGTCATAAGAAAACTGGTTTTTCCACCGGTAAGATGCCTCACACTTTCTCATATGTTACAGCTGCATCCTTAAAGATGCATTAAATCTATTTAAATGACAGTAATGATAATCTCAAACTTGGTTTAAAGAGAGGTATGAGTGAAACTTCAGAAATAAAACAGCGCCCTCCAGAGTTCAGAGTCTGTATCTTGCTGAAGGCCACTGACAGTACAGTAGAGTGGATACTTTACTGAAGCTGTGGCTGCTTTTGGCTCCACATTAATGAACTGTCTTAACCTCAGTTTGAGAGAGAGTGTCCAAAGGTGTCCAACATCACATCGCTGTTAATTTTGGGATACAGTTTCCTACTGGTTGCAAGCACTTTACAGTATACACTTGCTGCAGGGGAGCAAAATGAGGGAACAAGGGAGGATATATTGTTGGACTTTTATGTCCAGCAATGTCGGCATTTTAACATTATTACTTAACACTTAATGTGGGAGCTAATACTCCCGGGAGCCTGAAGTACAGTCCCCCGGTTCCAGGACAGCTTCATTAGTTACTTGCAGTATCAATGTAGCTGAAGTAAAATGGGAGTAACAGGCGCAAAGCATGACAGTGGCCCAACAAAAATCCAAAGCTCATTCTGTTTCATCCCGGCCTGGGTGGCTTTCATACTAATAACTAACCTTGTTAGCTGCTTACTTCTCCTAGACAAGAGAGAGGTAAGAAGTCTGGCTATGTTTTGAGTGAATTCACTCTGCCATCTTCCCTCGAGATGATTAGAAATACCTCTAATCATAGATGAAAGACAGTTTTCTGATGTGGTCCTTGATGAGGCTTTAAAGGCAAGGATCGCCATATATCAGAAGCAGTTCAGATCAGGCTTCCTGATGAGATCCAAACAGTGCTGGATTGGAGTGATTTTGTATGGCTGGCCTCCGAGCTGATGTGTCAAAATCTGTGTGTGACTGACATCTAGTGGTGTTGGAGTGAACAACATCTTTGAAAAAAATACCATATAATGAAATGAGATGTCAAGGAGAATGAATCGCTTCAAATGCTGGTTTGAGCAATTGATGTTTTGGCCCTCTGGTATTGATAACTGTGTGTAACCACTGAATATTTGCTTTCAGAATAATGCCATCACCACTTTCACTTAAAGAAATATATAAAAAATCACCTCCTAACCTCAACATTTTCTGCCCTACCCACTTCCACTCTTTCTGTAAGTTTGTCTGTCAAGCAAGGTTTCCAGTGTCAACCCTGAAGAGTCTTTGACTGCCAAAACTTTAAGCTTCGGATCTAAACTTGCACACAAAGAGCCAAAGTGTTTGATTGATTCCCCATACAGTCAGACTCTCAGCCAAGGGGAAAAAGGCAGGTAGGGGGTCAAAGATTACAATTCATGCTGGACAGTAGAAATGCCATCTCATCTGCTGAATTAGCATAAGAAACACATCTAACCTGTCAGTGTCTTTATTGAGCTATGCCCATAAACCTAGAGCCAGGCCTGTGCAGCAGCCATGCTGATTGGCAGGCTCTTTTATCTATGGACTCACAAAGAGCTTGTGTATAAAGGCAGAGCCACCAATCTGCCCCAGGACAGCTGGCAGAAATTGGATTTAAGTGCTACTGACCTTTTGAATCGTGGCCAAGCGATCAGTGATGGTCAGGCCACTGGGGAATGCGCACACTTGTTTTGGGGCTTGGGTTTCACGTTGTACCCACCTGTGTTTCCAGGCATACATGCGCGCACACACACACACACACACACACACACACACACGGACAGATGAATGCACATAAGGTAGCTCAACAGACACAACGTGAAATGTTAATGAAAGCAGATTGACTCGAGCAGCAGGGGAGAGGTCAAGAATGCAGTCATGCGTTTTCTGCCTTTGACTTCAGTGCTGTCATAGTGAACTCAAGAGGAGATGCCTGTTCCTCACAACAAGCACACTGACTATTCTCTGCCTCTGCCCTTCCTCTGTACATTTTGTTTATTCTCTTCCTGGCATTCACCATTCACGTCAGATAGATAGGAGACTGTATAGGTATAATTGTCTCTCCTCATTGGCCTCCTGACAACCTGTCCAACCCCCCCCCCCCCGCGCCTTCTGCCCAGTCTATACTTGAATAGACATCACATCCTTGGCCACAGTAAATGGAGGTTAACTGGGTGGAGAAATTAGGCCTCATTGACGTATTTGCTGTTGCTTTGCCTCTGAGACATTTAGTTCGTTTGTTGCCAAAGTTTAAAACTTTGTTGGTACAACTTTCTTATAAGGCAATCTTTGTAAGAGCTTATATTGTAACTAATGGCCTTTTAAATGGTTAATAAATTGTTTGGTATTTCTTCATAGATCAGTTATAACCCATTAATGAGAGCAACTTTTGTGTTGTGTGGCTGCAGAAAAATACAATGGTGCTATTTAGTAATTATGCAATCAAAAATGCTGGTAATCATTAATAAATACTCATTGGTTTCTCAGTCAGTACTAAATATGACATCTTTATTAAGCACCTTTTTTAAAATAAGCCATCATATCTGAAGTTATAGATTTCAAAAAGATGATTTTGATCCAGTGGCTTATATCTGATCTGTGAAGCATCAGTCAAGCAGTGCACGATTTACTAGTCTTTGCGAAAAGTTCTTATTACATACAACTTCTAAACCTTTATAAAGGCTGCCTTAATAGAAAGTGGTACAGTTTTTGCGAAAGATTGAAATGGCTGGGGTTAATAAAAGTGTGTTTCTGTGTGTGCGTTTGTCCCAGCTCCAGATGCTCCGTACACCCACTGGAAGCAGACCGTGTTTTACCTGGAGGACTATTTGACGGTGCGGAGAGGAGAGGAGATTGTTGGCAGCATTGCTATGAAACCTAATGAGAAAAACATTGTGAGTATTGCACACGCTAATGTTCATATTGTGTTAGTAGTCGGCGGAATTATAACCAACACTAATGATAATGGAATCTGCCTTTAAGCATCTGAGTATGTTTTTTTTTAATATATATATATAGCTAAGCGGCTAAGAAATGACTCATTTCCTGAGCTGCGTGCCCACGGCAGGTTGTTTCCTCCTCGGTGTTGGATAGCGGTCAAACAGGCAGCAGTGCTACAGTGACTTTCAGACAAATAGCAACAGAATCTATTGTTGACTTTGTCAGTGTCCTCTCCCAGCCCTCTAGGTGGTGCCTGACTCAAACAATCTGTGCTTATTTAATACCATATTCTGCTGTCAGGTCAAAATACAAAACCAGAGAGCACTTTCTCACCTTACTTTTTTTTTTTTCTCACTTATGGCTACATGTTTGCTCAATCATTACTTCCTGTTTTGTTCTGAAAACCATTTTTAGTCTTCTCTCTCTGTTTCACTTGCAGCGTGACTTGGACTTTACCTTCGAGCTGGATTTTAAAGGACAGCTGTGTGAAGCAGCCATATCGCATGACTACAAGATGCGTTAAGTTTGACTGCGGGGACCTCGGTGCCCCATCAAGTACAACCCTTGAGCACCAGAGGGAGACAGAGACACTCCCATGACCACAGACAGACACACTGAGTAATGTAAAAGGGGCCAACAATAAGAGGGAAGACCAGGCCAAAGACCAGGCAGTAGGTGGCCCCACTGACAATATCACCATTGTCACTACAGTGTATGATGAAAGCAGGAAGTTACTGATGCTGACTGTTAAACAGTTCTGAATGTAACACTGACAAAAAAAGAGGTCAGGAATATTTTCTAGTCTCGATGAATGTTATAGATTATTGATGTACGTGTGGTGTGAGATGGAGTGATGTACCTGTGTGTTTTGTTCAGTATTAATTTTCCACAATGACTTGGATCTTAAGGAGGGAGAGTTGGCATTTTTTAAAAAAAACAGTAGAGCTCATCCGATGAATTACTGTATTGTCCACATTCTGTTATAAATAGATGATGAATTTAAGGCATAGTTCTTATGTCATACTATGTACTGTAGGGAATGATTGTCAGAGAAACATTCTAATTTATAGCTGTGTCAATTGAGCGATGTTGGAAAATTGACAACAATCGAAAACCACAGCCAAGGACAAACCTGCGTAGGTCAGTACTGTATGTGTAATGTGAAAGGTAACGTGTTTGCATAGTCAGTGTACTAGTAGCTTTCTGTGAGTGTGTAATAGAAGGTGTCGAAGCTCACAGTGTTGCACAGCTTGGACTCCGGAAGTTTGAGCTGTGATGTTGACATGCCAATAACACACCTCCCCCATCCTAAATGCCTTGACCAAGTGCCGAAGTCTACCCAACTCTTTTCCGCACTGATGCATTTAGCGGTTTTCTATAGTTTCACGTATGGATAATAACCAAACATTTATTGGTTTGAGACTAGATATTACTTAAAAACACAAGCCATGAAGCTTCTGTAGTCTACATCTGGACATAATTCACGTTAAGCACTCTAACCCTAAGTATATTATGAATTCCTTTGTACCTGGACGTTGTGCTCCTTGACATGGCTTGTTTCTAAGCCTTTTTAGCCAGTGACTAGCTCTGATGTCAGATAACAAGGAAGTACTTGTAAGAGTGAGTGTGAAGATGATGAAAACTGGAGACCCGCAGTATTCCTGTGCTGATCTTTATGTCTAATGAGATCAGGAATCATGTTTCCTGAGCCATTTATATAAGCTTCATGATGTGGATTTGGAGTTTACAGACAGTATTGCAGTCTCATGGTTTACTGAAGCTGATGAAAAATCTTTCAACTTCACCTATGCTCTTACTAATGTCATTGCCAAGGTACCTACTGAAGGAATTTCTTCAATCAAGACATATAGATCTGGGCAAAGACTACCTGAAAATACTTTTAAAACATAACTTTAATGTTCCTAGTATTAGCCTCAAATATCTACAAAGGATTACAATAAAAAATACATTTTTTTTTCTTGAAAGAGTTTAACTCTTTTCCAGATTGTAACTGTGTGTTCTATGATATTGTCCTGTCCAGAAACAGCCAAGAACCAGCCTCTGTTCTTATGTCGTCTACAACATGCACAGCCCCTACTGAATCTTTTCAGGGCTGTAACCAAAATGTACAGTGTGGACACTGACTGTCATTTATAAAGAAAGCAACTACTGCTGATAACAATCAACAAAAAGTGCAGTCTCAAACTGAGCGCTGCTTTCTCTGAGCAGAAAGTCTGACTATTTCTGTTATCCTGTGCATTTTGCAGGGCACCGGCTGGTACAAAATAATAAATAAAAAAAAGCAATACAATGTTAAGAGTCATTAATACTTACAATCAACTATACATGGTAAGTAATCTTATTTATTTAGAATAATTGTATAATTGTATTGAAAGAGCACCTTTGGAATCTGTCCACACAAACACGACGGAGCAAAGCTGCTCTAATTAAACACAAATCTAGATTGCCATATAATTTATAAATCATAAAGATTCTAATAAATTGGCATGTTGATTCCACATGTATTACTTATATTGAATATGTTGTTTCAAATATTGTCATGTCAACTTGAAAAATTGAATAAACAGCAATGTCCAAACTCATGTCACCGGGTGATGCTGTATAGCTTATTTTAATTTCACTGTACCAGGAACAGATGAATAAGTCACCAGGTGCTTTACATATAATATACACATAAACAAGCGTTTATTCATTTGTTTTACGCTAATTACATTTTTATATTTACATTAAAGTGATGTGCAAGACACTGGCAGTAGTGAAGCACTATTAGTGATAATAGTGCAATATCAAACAGTAAAATCTGAACGTTTTACCAAAACTTCTACAACTGTGACCCTCCTGTAACATACAGATAACATAATTTACTTAACATGTTACAGTGGCACTATTTTATTAAAATACTTGGCACTGAGGCAGATTAAGGTGACATGAAATAAATATTTTGTGCACTCTACGTCATTTGGTCTGTACTGTCTTCTAACTGTTAAAAAGCACAACACAGCTGAGCCAACTTCCCAGCCTAACAACCTTCTGTACAACAAAAACAACACAAAATTATAATTCACTTACTGTACAATTTACAGAGCGGACAAAATAACACCTGTAAAATTTAACACTAAATATAACAGCCCGGGAGGAAACACTACATTTGAAGCTCATAATTTTCATTTGAAGTCCACAATAATTTATTGTTTATTCAGTGGAACTACATTGCTTCTGCACTGTGCTGCATGATAGTTAGTGTTTTTGTCCACCAGGTGAAGACACCTGTACAATATTCATAGTTTATACTGCATAGCCAGTAGCAGTGCCACATAACCACGAGAAATCAAATAACCACTGAATTAAATTAACACCTCTCTGACATAATGTCAACATCAGAAGCTTAACTAAAGTAGTGATAACTGCACGGCTGTTTGAATATGCATTACATTTTACAGTTGTTCAGGTGACTATGTATATATTTCATATACAGTGGGTTCCAAAAGTTTGTTGTCTAAGGCATTTGGACCCCACTGAATGTGTACAAAAATTAGAAAAGCAAAACAGCTAAAAATATTACACATAACACTGAATGACTATATTAATACATACAGTAAAAATGCCTTTGGAGGCTAAATAAATATTTGAGAGTTACAGTCAGAATTTGAGAGAGTATTCAACATTTACAAAATGAAAAAATCTTAGTTTGATTCCAAAGGGACAAATTTGTTCAGTTATTTTTACCTCAAAACCTCAAAGGGAACATTTGAACTTTTCTTACATTATTATTAATGTTTATATTATTATTTTATTAAATCTTCATAAAATATAAATTCAAGGTTATTTGTAAACTGCAAATACAACCTTGGAAAATCATATAGAGTAGACTGTTATAATAGTGCAATAACATGTGTGACACGTCACAGTATATATTCTGATGTTGGGTTTACCCAGACTGCTACAAGGCTGAAGAATAGGTGAAAAGCTGACATTTAAAATAAGGTTCCCTCACTGATACATGTGGTCACACTTTAACATTGTGTATGTGAGTAAAGGGTAGTGCTACTGCGTATGTGTTTACTGTTTGACTGTTAGCAGCAGGATCTCTTCTTCTCTGAAGGGATGCTGACCAGCTGGACAGTCTTCTCCTTCTCTCTGTCCTCTTGTTCTTTCAGAATTCTGGAAAAATGTAACAAGATATAAACACATGAAGCAGCGATGACAGGACATCCTAATGTGCATCATAATGTCCTTTGACCTTTGTACACACTCAGCTCTGAAAACTGATGTGTGTTTTGTGGCTGCAACTGCTACTGCATCTCAACCTGCATAAGTTGTATCAGGTCTGCATGAACCCTGCAGTGTCATTTTTTCACTGAGGGATTAGTTGCAGCACTTCCTGCTGTTATTTGTCATGTAGCAAACATTGTAGAACCATGATGTCAGGTCATTTGCAACAGCACCGTGTGGTTATTCGATGCAGAAATGCCAGTGAGAGCAGATTACTGGCAGTTCTAGCAGTAATATAGATTAAATAAGGGACTTGTGCAGCTTTCTAATGCAAAACAATGAAGCACACTGCACCACAGTTTGACAATAGGTCTGTAATTAAAGAAAGTCAGTGACATACACACACACACACACACACACACAGACAGAGGAAACAATATGGTGCACATAATCACATGAACATTTGATTTTGCACTTCACACCAATTAAATTGTGAACAATACCAGATATTTTCACTTGTGAGTAACTGTTTCCTGCTGTGCTCTACAGAACCAGCTTACAAGAAAAGGTCCTTTGTGCCTCCAACACAGCACAAATTAAACATTTGGCTCTCTATGAATTGCCTTATTTCAGCGCAGAAATAATCCCACTTTAAAAGCTGTTCAAGCAGACAATTGCTCCATATTTAGACGAACACAATTATTGTTTCTTTGTTTTCCTGTTGCATAAACTCACTCACACACACACACTCACACACCACACAGCTACATGCTCACCTGGCTAAATACACCATGGACTCCACCACGTTGTGTCCGGAGCATGCACTACACTCATAGAAAGTCATTTGGTAGTCCTGAAAAAGAGCCAAATGAAAATGATGACTGTCGATACCACAAAAGAGAAAGGCTCCTGTGATTAAAATACACTGTTTGTCTGACCAATTTCAACTACACACTGATGAGTGTAGGCCTATCAAGAAACATTTAAGTAAATTCACAGAGTTCTTTCCAGTCTCCATAGAAACTACACTGCACAACAGAGACTAGAGGAATAAAAAAAATGAACAAAAGATGAAGATAAAACACCCACAGAATTATACTGCCTCCACATAAAACTCTATTCAACAGTAATTGTGTTTCTTTCATTTATTACAACTAAAAAAAGCACCACTTTATGACTCTGGTCTGTAACTGACACCGATTTGCCCAGAACTTTGAGCCAGGCAAAGTAAGACAGACGCACAGACCTTGGCTAGTCTTTCACCCACTCTTTTCTGAACTTGTCTCTCAATCTCCTTGTCTGTTTTGTTTCCCAAAAGCATAATAGGAATGTCCTCGCCTGCACCCTCCTATAAAGGAAGAGAAGGAAAGAACACAGAACACAAGGAAATTATCTTTAGAGAGTCCACTGTGGTTAAAGGACGACTGTAGTCCACCAGTTTCCCTGTTGCTCTTTGTTCCCAAATGGAAAACCAGTCAGCAGTGAATAGACACATCACTGTTAATAGATACAGCAACTGACCTACATTTGTCTTATATTTTCTACAATATTATACTGTGGAAAATATTCAACATACACCCACTCTGTTTCTTAGAGAGCTGATTTCAGTCTACTGTAGGGACTCAAAATAACACAGAGACTTGAAGCAAAACAATAATCATCTGCTCAGTATTTCTGTGGCGAATGTTACTGTGTCACCTTTACACTCGTCAGCCACTGTCTGACAGCTGTGAAGCTCTGCTCAGCTGTGATGTCATACATCACAATCACACCGTCAGCCTTGCGAAAGAATTGTTTGGTGATGCTTCGATACCTGCAGTGGGAGGAGGAGGAATCAGGCAAAAGAGGAAGTTATGTTATCACTAGTATATTAGAAAACCCTGAAAAACCACACCTTTCCTGTCCTGCTGTGTCCCACATCTGCAGTGCCACCTGGCTGTTGTCCACAGTTACTGTCTTTACACTGTAGTCTATACCTGCACATACAGATAAGAAAATCAACAACAAACATCATATATATTTCTATGACACAAATGAGTATAGAGACATGTGAAGATATACCAAATGGAAATGTACACAATGACCTGAATGAGCTAATCCTAACAAATTCTAAGTGTGAATATGTTCATATAAAATAATGCTCGGATCAATGGAAAAAATTAAAGAACTGAAAATGGAGGCTTTTATTGATGAATACAACACAAAGTGTGCTAATTCTAAACATAATCAAAATTAAATCCTAGAAACAGTTGTATGTTTTAAAAAAGAGCGAAGATTTATATTCTTTACATGCAAAATCGAAAATATGTGATCAAAACAAAATACTTCACTATGCTCAAGGTTGCAGGACCAAAACGTGATGCTTTTTTCATCTTTCTTTTCAGTGTTAAAACCATCAGGTAGAATAAAGTTTTTTGTAGGCAAACACATACAGAGTCTGAGGTCAACCAAAGGGCTAGCTGTTTTGATGCCTTTGCTCACAGGAAGTGAGTCAAAGCATCAAAAACATTCATCCCTGTGGTTGAGCTCAGACTCTGTATGTGTGTGTTTGCAGTGTACAGTACATACCCACAGTGGCAGAAGTGCCAGGGTAGAAGCAGTCATCACAAAATCGTCTAAGTAGGGAGGTCTTTCCTACACTAGAGTTCCCCACTAGAACGATCTTGAAGAGGCGATCAGGAGGCGAGGGCCTGCCCTCATCCTGGATAAAGAGAGGAATGATGGGAGCAGATATTGGAAGAAGGTTTTAGGAACTCCCTTTAAATAATCAGTCAGGTGGCTGGCTCTTATTGGTGTGAGGTAGGCTACAACAGGGTAATGATTTCTCTCACTGAGAAATGTAACACCTGTCTCCTTCCAGTATACTACCTGTTTGGAAAGGCTATTTTTCCAATAAACAAAAGAAACCCATTTAATGACTTACAGTAAATGTATTAATGTAGTATTTCAATGTTGATAACAGAATTGAAACATTATTCTATTATTATTATTAATATTATCTATTATTCTATTCTTACATGCAGTATATTACTTGATTCTCAGTCCACATGCTTACACTTATGCTGGTCTCCTTGCCAACAGGCTGACCCCTTGGAGATGTGGGGGTTTCCCTTTTCTCCACATTTCCCTTTGACTGTTGCTGCTGGGGAGAAGACGCACACGGGTAAATGTCACTCATCACTAAGTCT